AAAAAAAAAAAAAAAAGAAATTGCGACTCAGAGAGGTGAGGTCACTTGTCCAGGGTCACACAGCAGGATTTGAACCTGGAGCCCATGTTCTTGGCCACTTCGCTCTGCCCTCTCCTGGCCCTGCCCACAAGCCAACACCCTTTCCCCTGCCTTCTAGTGCCAGAATCTCACTTGCCCCGCCTCCAAACCATTGCCCTGGTTCAAGCCCAGGCGGTGGGTCTGGGTGGGGGCTCCGTGGTCTCCAGTGTCACCTTCTAACCCTGACGTTGATCTTTTTAGAGTACTAGCGTGCCTCTTTCTCCTCCACTTCAAAACCCTCCAGGCTCACCACCACCTTAGGATAAAGCGCGGCCCTCTGAGCACCCTGCACCATCACCCTCCTCCACTGTGACCTCTTCTCTTCCTAGCCTTGGTTTGTTTCTGTGTTTTTTCTCTCCTGCCCCCAAGGGGTGAATTTCAGCTTTCCCTTAGAGGCCCAGCTCAAAATCACCTCCTCCATGAAGCCTCCTGGCCCTCTCCCCACTTGGCTGTCTGCTGCTACAGGCGATGACAGCCCCAGAGCAGGACACGCTGGCTCGCTACCATGTGTCTGACCTTCGGCAGTCTGCGTTCAGAGGAGGGCTCACAATACAGGCATCACAGCCTCGATCTGGGGGCAGGATGGCCACCCCCAAGTCAGGAAAAGGTCATTTTCCATCTCCCAGGGTTACTGCAGACAGCAGTCCCTGAGGCCAAAGCTGGGAGGGCCACGGGTGGGATGAGTCGGCCAACGTTTGTGCCCAGGGCTCACTCTTTCTGTCTGCCACCTTGACATGACCCCGAAGTCCAGCCCACAGACACGTGAGGAGAGGAAACAGAGACCTTGAGAAGTAGGGCCGGCGGGTGGGATAGCGAGCCCTGAGGGACCCTAATGATGGACTAGGAGCCTGAGCAGCTACTCACAGGCCTCCCTCTGTATCTCACCGTGTGCTGGCCACAGTGGGCTCTTGGGACCATGGAGAATAATAAAAACAAAAACACGTTCTCCCAAATGCCTCTTAAGTTGGTTTACGTGCATTATTTTGCTTTGTTTTTTGAGTCAGGGTCTCGCTCTGTTGCCCAGGCTGGAGTGCAGGGGCATGACCATGGCTCACCACAGCCTCAAACTCCTGGGCTCAGGTGATCCTTTGCCTCAGCCTCCCAAGTAGCTGGACTATAGGTGAGCACCACTACACCTGGCTAGTTTTTTTTTTTGGAAGAGGTGGAGTCTTGCTTTGTTGCCCAGGCTGAATGTGTTTTGTTAAAATGTACAGCTCAGTCTAATAAAATGTCTGTTCTGAAGAAGAGACCAATATATCAGGAAAGAATTTTAAAAGGTCTTTAAAAGTACTTCTCTTTTGTTCTGGTTTTGGAAGTGATGTTTGGAAGGATATATGCTTATCCTAGCAGTCACAGGGCTTGGTTTTACACCTTAGTGTAAGTTTAAGGATCTACATACAGTTCCAGCTACTTAGGATCACCTGAGCCCAGCAGGTTGAGGCTGCGGTGGCCGTGAGCCTGCCACTGCACTCCAAGCTGGGTGACAGTGAGACCACAACTCAATGCCAACGACATTCAGAGCACAACTGAAATTCAAAGAAACACCAAACAGCAGCACCCTGGGCCAAGGCGCCTGGTGTGCCAGGCACTGCCGGTGCTCTACGTACTCAGAATTTACCCGACTCTCCACCCTGCTGTGAGAAGGTCCACTGTGCTCCCACTACACAGATGGACCCTGTGAGGCCCAAGGAGCCTGGTGACTTTCCCAGGCCACCCACGGTAGACTCGATTTTTTTTTTTTTTTGAGTTGGAGTCTCACTCTGTCACCCAGGCTGGAGTGTAGCGGCACGCTCACAGCCACTGCAGCCTCAACCTGCTGGGCTCAGGCGATCCTTCTGCTTCAGCCATCCAAGTAGCTGGAACTACAGGCGCACGGCATCACACCCAGCTAATTTCTTGATTTATTGTAGAGACGAGGTCTCACCAAGTTGCTCACTGGGCTCAGGCAATCCTCTCGCCTCAGCCTCCCAAAGTGCTGGGATTATAGGCTTGAGCCCTATAATCCCAGCCTTAGACTTGGGCCCTACGCCCGGCCTTAGACTTGGAATTCTAAGGGAGCATCATCTGGCCTGAGGTCTAGGAGTCCTTGGACCTGAGAAGACACGTTTTTCTTCCTAAGATGGCATAAGGTGCACCCCCCACCCCAAATTCCCAGACCTGTTCTCCCCCAGAATGGTCCAATCCGGGCTGGGTATCTTGTGGTCAGTGCATTTCTGGGCTGGTCCCCAGAGACTGCTGTGGCCCTTCAGGATGTCCCCACCCCCATCGCTCCTGCCCTGAGCCCAACTCCACTCCTCCGGGAAGTCAGATCTGCCTGATTTCTCGGAAAATGTCCAGCGCTGAGGCCAGATGCTCACAGCTGGGCAGCCCCCCCACCGCGGTCCCTGCAGTGAGACCTCAGGCCCCAGGGGAGGGACTTAGCTGGAGAGTTTCAAAACCCTGTCAGGTCCCATTGGGAAAAGGATCCTCGGGTTCCTCTGCCTCCAGGTCATCCTGGAGCAGGGTGTATGTAAGTTCCCGGCAGGGCAGCCTCCCGGCCAGCCGCGCCCAGGGGACCCTCTGCCCCCAACCTTCCCTCCCCTTGAGGGGGGATCAGAGACCCAGCTGGGTAAGCGGAGAAAGTGGGAACAAAGGGAAGGAAAGTCATTTCCTGTCAAGAGGAAGGAAGGAGGCTGACAGCCAGCCAGCCAGCCACCCAGCCGCTGAGGGGGGAGGCCTCCCACCCCCAACGCCTGCCTTCCTCCTTATTCCCCACTCAAAAAAAAAAACCTTCTCGAACCACCTCTAAGCTGTGTTCTTTAATAACTCAATAAAGCAGCCTATGTTTAAAATTCGCTAAGTCTAAACTTTGCTGGAGGTGGTGTGGGGGCTGTGTTCCAACACCCCCCACCTTGCAGCCTCCCCATCCTCTCTCCCACCCCGGCGAAATGAGGCAGAGCTGGGTTCACACTGGACCCCGCCTCTTTCCGGCTAGGTGACCCTGGGCAGATCACGGAACCTCTCTGGCCTCGTTTTTGTCCTCGTCGCGTGAGGAGTCCGTCCTGATGGGTGGCTGAGCAGGGACGGCGGAGGGCACTCGGGGTCTCGCACAGGAAGGGTGCAGAGGACAGCGGGCCATCCAGCCCCTGGGGGGCGGAGGAGCCCCCGGGTCCTCAGAACTGAGCTGCTGGGGGGCGACGCCAGGGGCGCCCCGGGGCACACACCTTGGGGTCGGCCGGTCCCAAGCTTCCCACCCCCGACGGGCATTTGAGGCCCAGAGAAGGGCAGCCCCGGC